AAGATAAGATGTCATTTAAATAAATAAATAAAGTTTTATATGAGTTCCACCACTAATTTTATGTGGTCAGTCGATAATTAAAAATATCAGAAACTAATATTTAATAATTATCGCTCAAAACAGTTAAATGTTGGTCAAACGCTAACTTTGATTTATTGTGTAATGACTACGTCCATTTGCGATAATTTTGGGGTCCACCTATAGGACTTTTAAAACGATAACATGCACTAGCTTTGTCGTCACGTCATAAAATCAGACTACTTATTTCGCATTTTATTATATTTCAGCTTTGTGTATGTGTGAAGTAAGTGAGCAAATATCTTCGAGGGGCCGAGATGCCCATACTGTTTGTCATACATCATCAACGTTCGTCCACTGAGTTTCTCGCCGGATCTTTTCAGTGGGTCGCGTCTCCGATCCGGTGATAGATTCTGCGAAGCACTGCTCTTGTTAGGACCAGTGTTAGCAACACTCCGGTTTGAGCCCCGTGAGCTCACCTACACGACAAGGAGAAGCTGAAATAGCCTCTCAAGGAGATCAGCATAGGTAGGGGGAAAAAATCCAAGTTGTTATTGTGTAGTGGATTTGGTTACGATCTTTGTTACCTACCAATTATTAGTATGTAGTTATATGCAGTTATTTGTTTCATAAATCATGTATGTATATCGTAAAAAGTGAACAATTTATAGGGGAAATTAATCTTACAATTTTATTTATGTTCATAAATTCACATCATTTATAAAACAAGATTTTGATGGCGTAAAGAATGAGCCCTTCTAGTCCTACTGCGTAACTGAATGAAAGCAATCAGTCCGAGTCTCGAAGGCCACTTACAACGTAATGTTTCGACACTCGACCTTTCGGAAATCGGTTTAAAATACCATGACTGTCGCAATTTTATCATAGATAGTAGTTCTATCTGTGTTTTGATGGGATATTGTATGGAGAAAGCTCTCAGATTTTTATAAAAATAATTGCTCAATTTCTACTTTTCCACTGCAATTTACTAAAGTCCATCCCTATTCACAGTTGCTAGAGATATTTTTACTGTTTTACAGTTACGCTTTGGAACATATCAGGAATTGCTCTACTATGTAAAATGCTCTTAAAATAAGACTTGTAATTTTTTCTTAGCGGCAACTGAGTCGTATCCCTGGCACTACATCGACTAGTTACAGTAACAGACGTGTTTTTCTGGGAAAACAATTAAAAAAGTTTTTCTCCCGCACGGTGGTATAACCCCACAAGCAAGCAACATTGTACTGTGCATGCTCGCTGGCTAGCTTTAAAATCGCTGATTCGATGGCCAAGCAATGTTCTGGAAAATATGTTAATCGCTTTAAGTGCGACTGTGACAAATTTGAATCAAGGTGCATTTGATAAAACATGTTCATATAATAATATGTTATGGTTTAATGAGTTTTATGAAACTAATTGATCGTACCGTTGGCGTGCTTAGTGACCTTCAGCGTTGTACTGCGGGTACCGGGTTCGGTTCCCGATCAGTCACGGATAATATATTTGTTAAAGGTATTTGGTAGATATTCGGGATCTGGGTGTCCTTGTTGGCATCTTGCGTGTGCCCTCCCAGTACTTGTAGCACAGGATAAAGCTTGCTAGCCTCTTTTTTCTTACCTAAACTGGCCTTTAGAGGCTATGCCAGCGTGACTGAGCGAGTAGGTGAACTCAAGGGGCTCTAACCGGGGGACCTTGCTAACACTAGCCCTAGCAGTGTTTCGTAGGATCTACCGCCGGAACGGAATGGGGCCCCACTGAGCAGATCCGACGAGAAACTCAGTGGGCTGTGTCTGTGGGTTTGCTAGCCAGGTTGGGACCGTTTGTACTGGAGCTGTAACTGATGATACAATTCTCTGAGCTAAGCTTAGCGTGGCCCACGAGATGGCATATGTTTAGTAAATGATGTTAAATTGAGCTCAGTGCAAAGACCACGTTATTTGTTATGTTGTCGGATTTACAAGCACTAGACCGTCATTTCTGCTTCTTCAATAACACCATATTCTCCCCTGTTTAAGACAAATAACAAGACTTCCTCCTTGCATCGTGTTCCTCACTACTGAATCACCTTCTCTCTTTCGTTTTTGTCTCTGTCGTAAATAGCAGGTACGAAATAATAAATAACAAGAATAATATGATTTTAAATATTTCACTACATGTTAACTTTGATTAAGTAAGTCGATCAACAAGTTGCGTTAATTTCGTTCAATCTTGGACAGCTTTAACTTGAACCAGTGGAAGAACGAACTATGTTTCCAATACATAGCACAAAGTCGCGGTCGAGAGTTGAACTATCAGGAAATACCAGTTACTCTTGTAGGAAAACCAGTTTCGTTTGATGTAGATTTACTTGCGCGAGTCTAAAGTATGGGTTCTGTGTAGATTGTCGTGCCTTCTCTACCTGATTGCATGTGGTTAAATCGCTCCTCGACAACAGCAATTACAGGGGCTTCCTTGACTTTGTAGTCTTCATTTTGGTTTAACAAAATCCAGAGTATCTGAATAGTTCATTGACTAGGAACATTCGAAACCGAACCGTTGGAGTTCCTGCGCGAGTAGTTTCAAGAAATCAATGTACTTCATGCAATCAGTGGCAGTTACAACTGAGCGTGTAGTAATGTGTATGTAATTGGAGGAATTCTTTAGTAACCTTTCCTAAGTAAAATACGCACTAAAAATAAATAAATAAAACGTATGCAATAATAGTGATATTAATACAAATTTTGAGATCATGAAAGCCCTAACAAAAACGAGCAATTCGGATTAATTTAAAACAATCAGGTCTGCCGTTCATCCGAGTCGGGGCCCGCCTTGTGACCTCAACAATTGTCTGGTCGGTTTGTGGTTGAGGTGACAGGGCATCTTGATTACTACAAGTGTGTGCCGAGGCACATCAAAAATTTTACAATTCAATCGTAATTTAAGACTGAATTAATTATGCAATCGATATCTTTAAGTTACTTGGTATTAAGTTCGCATAAACCAGTGACGTATGCTGCATTTTATCTTAACCAAGAAAACTCCAATATCCTGGCATTAAGTAAAATATTGGGTTTCCAACGACGACGGGAAACTTCCTTTTCTTGTCAGCTAACAGCGCTGATAAACATTTATCGGAATATCTCGTTCGTTATCTATTCTGTGATAGGCCGATGTGATCTTTCCGTTTAAATTATAACAGTTTAAAATAATTTGTTCACCTGTCGATTACTAGTGGTCTACCTTGGACAATTTAGTCTATTGTTACGTGTTCAGTGCTGACGCTGACAGAATAAATTATACTTTAAGCATTTAATGATTATAGTCATTGTTACCTGTGCCACTAGCCATGTGCAATTTCGACTTTTAGAAAATTTAATAGATAAACTACAAGCACTTGAATATTTTTTTTCCTACCTTAGCTGGATAGCCTTGTGAGGCTATTTCAGCGTAACCTTAACTAGTAGGTGAGCTCACGGGGCTCAAACCGGAGTGATGCTAACACTGGCCCTAGCAAGAGCAGTGCTTCGCATAATCTACCACCGGATTGGAAGCGCGACCCACTAAGAAGATTCGGCGAGAAACTCAGTGGGCTGTGTCTATGGGTTAATTCGTTCGTCGAGCCCTTCGTCGCAAGCGATGGGTTCGACGAGGACGGTGACCGGTCACTTGTATGAGCATGCAGAGTCCGCACGGCTAGGTGTGGTTATTCTGCCTATTTCTACCGGATAGCAATCATGTGTCCGGTTTTTTAGAGGGGGACAGCCGTCATATAATATATTGAAACCTCGGCTGGCACCTTATCGGACACTTAACTGACTAGTTCAAGGAACTAGTGCTGAGTAAGCACATTAGATAATTGATATTCCAACTCCAAAGATAGACATAGAAATTGCAATGTGAATCTTAATAGAGAAAGGGGATCTAAGTAAAAGCTTATATTATCCGAATTTTTTATTTATTGCTTAGATGGTTGGACGAGCTTACAGCCCATCGGGTGTTAAGTGGTTACTGGAGCCCATCTACAGCGTAAATGCTTGCCCACCTTGAGATATAAGCTTTAAGGTCTTAAGTATAGTTACAACGGCTGCCCCGCCTTTCAAACCGAAACGCGTTGCTGCTTTACGGCAGAAATAGGCGGCCGGTGGTACCTACCCGTGCGGACTCGCAAGAGGTCTTACCACCAGTAAATCCCTCAAACCGGAAGTTGTTACTTCGCGACAAAAATAGGCAGGATCGTGGTAGCTGTCGATGCGGACTCACATTAAGGTGAATTGTAGTACACAAATAAAAACAAATTTCGTTGGTATCACCGGCAGTTATAAGTTTATATTCAAAAAAAACAATTGCTTCAAACATACGAATGGACGACGATCCGAATTTAGAGGTCATATTAGTTTTGTTATTCTAGCTGTCTGTGTTTACATACATACTATAATACAAAACACACATATATACGTACTCGCTATTACACGGTGTTATTCAACCTAATGTGAGGTTACGTTCGCCGTTCACTTCGTATTGTTTGAATTCAATAAAGCAACAAAATAAACTATGAAGTGTCAATTCACCAAGATTTTTAATTAATCCAAATAGTGGAAATGCCAAATTTTATGGTTTTTGCGTTGAACATATGTAACTATTGCTTAGAATGAATTGTGGGTGTAAAATATTACTTATTGTTAAATTTTTGTTTATGTCGAGTTATTCAACTTTTCTACAACTTTATTTGGAATACGTTTTTTTTTGTTTCTGTACACGGTAAACGAGCATACGGTCCACCTAACGGCCAGTGGTTACCGATACTCATGAATAACAGAAATGCGAGGGAGATAGCCGAGTCTAATTACGAACAGTCGCTGTTAAAAAGATATTCAAATGTAATGTCAAAATTTCCGTTTCGTCCACTTTTTATTTAGGCATAAACGCACTACGTAAAGGCCCTTATAGCTGCGTTCGCCTATCGCAAAATAAGAATTAATTGCAACATAAAAATACATACATACCTAAACTTTAACGATTCCACAAAAACAAATATAAATTATTCAGAATTCGAACGTGCGTTTGTTTTGACAGCTGCCGAATACGCGCGAACGACACGGACTGCGATACGGGCGACGGCGGCGGGGCGACGCGACCAACTGGCAAACGTGTTGCGTTTGTTGTTGCTTGCTGGTTGCGAGGCGGCCGTAGTTGCGACATGCGGTCGGCTAGCCTCGCGCCCACCGTGCACCGTGCTATGCGCCGATATGTTTGCGTGTCTCGCCGGACATTCTCAGCGGGTCGAGATTCCAATGTGATAGTAGATGCAATCGCGAAGCAGTTGCCCTAGAGCTGCTAGACATCTTACGGAGGCGCACGGGCAGCTGTTAGCAAATCCCACCGCGCCTGGCTGAGCCCGTGCTCGCACACCTGTCCTGGTGAAACTCGAAAATCAGGTCACCAGTAATCATTGCTTCACAAAAAAAAGTCCACAGCATATCACAATCATTACCGAACCTCAACACAAATGCTGCTATTAGAAGATGCTGCTATTGTTATTGTCATTAAAATAAATAAAATACGCGATGTAATTTGCCTTGTATCGTACGCTAAATAGAAAAACGGGCTCGATAAGTTGGTTCCTTATGTTTTCTGCTCAACTTTGCATAGGAGTATTGTTTAACGGTATAAGTAAGTACGTACAGATCTGTGAGTAGTTGAGCTGCACAAACGGTTTCCTGACGGCTACTGCTTAATTACCAGTTATATACAACTTATCAAACCAAAATTTTACTTCCAACGGCTCCTCATAAAAATCTAAATTTTCTAAGTTACGCACGGTATGTATTTGAAACATCGAAAAATGTAATAAGAAGTGGCGCGAAACAGTCAAACCTATCTATATATTAATACGTGAAGCAAAAACTTTGTACCCCTTTTTACGAAAATTGCGCGGACGGAGGAGTATGAAATTTCTCACACTTATACAGAATATAGAGAAGGAGTGCACAATGCTAATATTTTTTTAAAATAATGCATAAAAGATACTTTAAACCAATAAAGAAAACATTACACACACTACCGTGTATTTCACACAACACATACATAAATTCGAATTGAAAATAGATTAATATTGTTTGTCTCTAATATTATTGATCTATAGTGCAGTTTTGGCGAATACTGTGATTATATTATCGAAATATAATCGTGTTTGACAATAGAACCATAATAATGTTTTAACTTATAATTTCAATTAATTATAGTCGAATCTCGATTACTGCGGGCGGGGCCACTAGTTTTTATAATTTCTTACAATCGAGAGACAGCCTTAGTATTTACTGGGAAACAGTTTCAATCTGTAAAATTATCGCGTTACACATAACAGTTCAACGATAAACCATTCGTTGTAAATCAAATATTAATTGATTTGTTTTACAAGGACCACATTTAAGTGCAGAATAGGAGCACTGTTCCGTTCCTTACATTTGTTTTGATATGAGACAAGGTTTTATTGAAATCAAAAGCTATCAGATAACTGTAATTAGTGCAGTCCTCATTGAAATATTGGTGGTGGGACGTATTGTGAGACCGCTCGGGTACCAATATCTTGTCTATTTCTACCGCGAAGTCGTCCGTCGTCGTTGGCGTACTGGAGGGAGGCCATGCGTAAATAGAGGTTGGGAGAGCTGGTACAGGTTTTTTTTATTTTTTTTATTGCTTAGATTGATGGACGAGCTCACAACCCACCTGGTGTTAAGTGGTTACTGGAGCCCATAGACATCTACAATGTAAATGCGCCACCCACCTTGAGATATAAGTTCTAAGGTCTCAAGTATAGTTACAACGGCTGCCCCACCCTTCAAACCGAAACGCATTACTACTTCACGGCAGAAATAGGCGGGGTGGTGGTACCTACCCGTGCGGACTCACAAGAGGTCTTACCACCAGTGATTACGCAAATTATAATTTTGCGGGTTTGATTTTTATTACACGATGTTATTCCTTCACCGTGGAAGTCAATCTCGAACATTTGTTGAGTACGATTCGAACACCGGTGCATCGCTACATACGAATGCACAGGACGTCTTATACTTTAGGCCACAACAACAACAAAAATCTAAACGAACTAACTGCTCACAGTAATATACAGTTTGTCGGAAGATCCCTTACGTTTTAGCGTTATTAGTTTGTTCGCCCGCCATTTACCAGATTGAGTCGAGCTGTTGCTACTTAGGATAAGGTTTCTGGCATAGTGCCATCAACGTAAGATATGTGTTCGGCCCATACAACAGTTTCTGATAGTCTCAGCGACACAATGCCGTCTTCCGCTAGTACCTCATAAAACTACACAGTTTAAACGTCATCTACTTAGGAAAATTTGTTAATTTTTTCCAAGAACTATTAAAAAGGGGAGGTTTTCCACCAATGAAAATGCCAGATTTCGAAGCAGTTTTCCAATTAGGATAGATAGATGGCGCTACAATTGTTTTTCGCTAGATAGTTAAAGTAAATATGTAATAGGTAAATAAAAACTTAGGTTATTCATTTTTGACTTATCTATCACATTCTAACTGTATTGTTAGATAGTTTAGGGACGTGAAATTTATTATAACGAATTAGTTTAAAACGCTCATTTTCAAAACAAAAACCAAAAAAGAAATAGCGCTGTCACTTTTATTTTACTTAATAAGTATATCAAATGAAGTTTCAGTAGATATATATTTGAGCTGTTAGTAGGTTTTCAAAGCTCAAAACACCAAATCTTGGTAGGTCTTGAGGACTAACAATAATACATCGCCTAGCAGTTAATGTGCGACATTACTTAAATCAACCAAGTTTAGCATACCAAGTAAGAACGATGCGCCGGATTGACATGTCACAAATATGTCCGTGTGCTGAATATCATTTAAACAGCACGCAGATTATCGCGGAAATGATTCAAGCCAGCACGTAGGGTTTTTTTAGAAATGTCAAAAAAATATATATATCTATATATGGTGCCCTTCTACTGATAAAATAAAATGAGGTTTTTAGCAACGTTTATTTTTAAGTTGTTTTAAACTCTATAAGTAATGAAGTAAGCTCAGGAGACCTCATATTTGGCAGCTTCTCAGCAATGTTATCGACATGGCCAATAGTTCCATTGAAAACTCCTGTTCGTTTCTTTAAAATTTGTGCTCGTCGTATAGGTATTGGCGTTTATGGCGTATTTCCGAAATTTTTTAATAAAAATATATTTTTGCATGAAGCATTGCTAGAAGTGCACTTATTTATTCTGATCCAGTGACTCGCCAAGAGGCCGAGCTCGCAAGTCTGCTAGACGATTTAGAGGTATTTATTATCTTTGGAAATTAATCTTTTAATACATTTACTCCCATTACCAAAGGTGGACTCTCGCGTGTTACCGCAAATCATCCTTTTCAATTTTCAAAGAGGAGGTCTTAAGCCTCTTTAAGTTTGGTAGTTTCAAAAGTAAAACACAAAGAATGACATAAAACACAGATAAAAAATAATTGCTACAGTTAGGTTGGATAGTTATGACTCCAGATATGTAATATATGTACATGTGTATGTTTTTCTTTAAATCTGTGTACCACGGCTTAAAAATGGACTAAAGAGGATAAAACTTAATTCCAACTACGTATATTTGTAATTTTAACTCATTGGGAACATATAAGATGCTTAAAAGGAGAATTAAAAAAAGTGTGGAAAATACTTTTAATGAACTTCGTCGCAAAGTTACAACCTTTTGTTTAAGAAACATAATATGATTGTTGCATATTAATGTGTTACACAACAGCAATACTATGACATTACACACCTAAAGATAGAGCGCGTGCGTGTTATTTGTATGAAATTCGGGTTTGCAATCTCAAATGTCGTTACTCTGCATGTGATGTTTTTAATGTCGTTAATGAAGGTATTCGAAATAAATCGTTGGATGGTTACGGTCCAACGATACTTGGTAAATCATCTTTAAAAACATAGCTTATGATTCCGGCCCAAAAATATTACTTCACTTTTTTTTATTGCCTTTGTAGGCAGACGAGCGTACGGCCCACCTGATGGTAAGTGGTTACCGTCGCCCATGGACTTCAGCAATGCCAGAAGCAGAGCCAAGCCGCTGCCTACCGCTTAATACTCTTCACAAGCCTAGTTTGAAGAAGGACATGTCATAGCGCTCGGGAAACACCGTGGAGGGAAGCTCATTCCAAAGCCGGATGGTACGTGGCAAAAAAAACCTCTGGAAACGCACTGTGGATGACCGCAGGCTCCAGGTAGTATGGATGAACTCTACTCCGGTGGCGGGCGGTCACTTTGACATTTAACGATAAGACATGACAATCCAATATCAGTATTTTTCAAAATGTGCTTCCATGTAGTTACGCCTTGCTGAAGATTGTGGTATTACTAATAGAAGAAAATTTAAAGTCATCTGTATAAAATATGCAGGCGCCGTTTGGCAGAGAACTCAGGAGCCTTGATAAATGCTATCCGATATGCTAACTAAGTAACCTATTCACTCTAGAAACATCCCAGTCAATTTCCAACCTTTTGTCAAAGGACTCGACATCAAAATCGCTTGTAGACATACTTTGAAAGTTCAGCTGTTTTAAGAAGGGATTTAGACTTTGTTGCATTCAGCTTAGGTTGACGTTACACCGTTGTTAGTTTTTATAAAATATTTTGTAACAATGTTAAGTATTCGAAAAATTTAATACTTCCCTGATATTTGCAATCGACGTTACGTGGTCTGAATATGCAGTATAATTTTAAAACAGATGTTTAAATATATGAAGGAAATCTTTCTTTTCGATATTTTCTTTACATATTTACCGTTCAGTAGAATGGTAAATAGTTTTCAATTGGACGTTGTAAAATAAACTTGAATTTACTGTTTATTGTAATGTCCTTATGTAATAGGCATTTATTCGCAATATATTTTATTGAACTATTATTCAATACATTTATCAGCATACGTGTGCTGATAACTTGATGTCTAAATTTAATTTTAACTGTCGAAAAACATTGTAAGTACTACTCCTCATTTTACTAGAATATTTTACTTTTTTAAAATGAATTTAGACTCATTGTGATCTCTGGATAAACTTCAATCATGTTCATATTCCAGTACCAAATGTATAATAAATGAAGAACATGGTAAGCAATGTGT